TGTGTGGGGTGGAGACAGCTGGTGTGTGTGTGGGGTGGAGGACAGCTGGTGTGTGTGTGTGTGGGGTGGAGACAGCTGGTGTGTGTGGGGGTGGAGACAGCTGGTGTGTGTGTGTGGGGTGGAGACAGCTGGTGTGTGTGTGGGGTGGAGACAGCTGGTGTGTGTGTGGAGACAGCTGGTGTGTGGGGGGTGGAGACAGCTGGTGTGTGTGGGGTGTGTGGGGTGGAGACAGCTGGGTGTGTGTGTGTGGGGTGGAGACAGCTGGTGTGTGTGTGGGGGGGTGGTGTGTGTGTGGGGGGGTGGAGACAGCTGGTGTGTGTGTGTGTGTGGGGTGGAGACAGCTGGTGTGTGTGTAGGGTGGGAAACAGCTGGTGTGTTGTGGTGGGGTGGAGACAGCTGGTGTGTGAGGGGGTGGAGACAGCTGGAGTGTGTGGAGGGTGGAGACAGCTGGTGGTGTGTGTGGGGTGGAGACAGCTGGTGTGTGTGTGAGGGGGTGGAGACAGCTGGCGTGTTGTGGGGGGTGGAGACAGCTGGTGTGTGTGTGAGGGGTGGAGACAGCTGGTGTGTGTGAGGGGGTGGAGACAGCTGGTGTGTGTGGGGGTGGAGGACAGCTGGTGTGTGTGAGGGGTGGAGACAGCGGCGTGTGTGGAGGGTGGAGACAGCTGGTGTGTGTGTGAGGGGGTGGAGACAGCTGGTGTGTGTGTGAGGGGTGGAGACAGCTGGTGTGTGTGAGGGGTGGAGACAGCTGGCGTGTGTGGAGGGTGGAGACAGCTGGTGTGTGTGTGAGGGGGTGGAGACAGCTGGTGTGTGTGAGGGGTGGAGACAGCTGGTGTGTGGTGTGGTGGGGTGGGAGACAGGTGGTTCTCACACACTCGACCAGGGCCGTGATGGAGGCCGAAGAAGAGACCAGCAGGGTGGTAATTACCTCAAGGCCGATTGATGCGAGAGGATTGGAGGGCCACCAGGGGTGTTGGAGGTGTAGGGCCACCAGGGGTGTTGGAGGGGTAGGGCCACCAGGGGTGTTGGAGGAGTAGGGCCACCAGGGGTGTTGGAGGGGTAGGGCCACCAGGGGTGTTGGAGGAGTAGGGCCACCAGGGGTGTTGGAGGTGTAGGGCCACCAGGGGTGTTGGAGGGGTAGGGCCACCAGGGGTGTTGGAGGTGTAGGGCCACCAGGGGTGTTGGAGGGGTAGGGCCACCAGGGGTGTTGGAGGGGTAGGGCCACCAGGGGTGTTGGGGGGGTAGGGCCACCAGGGGTGTTGGAGGGGTAGGGCCACAAGGGGTGTTGGAGGGTAGGGCACCAGGGGTGTTGGAGGTGTAGGGCCACCAGGGGTGTTGAGGTGTAGGGCCACCAGGGGTGTTGGTGGTGTAGGGCCACCAGGGGTGTTGGAGGGGTAGGGCCACCAGGGGTGTTGGAGGGGTAGGGCCACCAGGGTGTTGGAGGTGTAGGGCCACCAGGGGTGTTGGAGGGGGTAGGGGCCACCAGGGGTGTTGGGAGGGGTAGGGCCACCAGGGGTGTGGAGGTGTAGGGCCACCAGGGGTGTTGGTGGGGTAGGGCCACCAGGGGTGGTGGTGGTGTAGGGCCACCAGGGGTGTCGGAGGGGTAGGGCCACCAGGGGTGTTGGAGGGGTAGGGCCACAGGGGTGTTGGAGGAGTAGGGCCACCAGGGTGTTGGAGGTGTAGGGCCACCAGGGGTGTTGGAGGGGTAGGGCCACCAGGGGTGTTGGAGGGGTAGGGCCACCAGGGGTGTGGAGGAGTAGAGCCACAGGGGTGTTGGAGGAGTAGGGCCACCAGGGGTGTGGAGGAGTAGGGCACCAGGGGTGTTGGAGGAGTAGGGCCACCAGGGGTGTTGGAGGAGTAGGGCCACCAGGGGTGTTGGAGGAGTAGGGCCACCAGGGCTGTTGGAGGAGTAGGGCCACCAGGGGGTGTTGGAGTAGGGCCACCAGGGGTGTTGGAGTAGGGCCACCAGGGACGTTGGAGTAGGGCCACCAGGGGTGTTGGAGAAGTAGGGCCACCAGGGGTGTTGGAGGTGTAGGGCCACCAGGGGTGTTGGTGGTGTAGGGCCACCAGGGGTGTTGGAGGGGTAGGGCCACCAGGGGTGTTGGTGGTGTAGGGCCACCAGGGGTGTTGGTGGTGTAGGGCCACCAGGGGTGTTGGTGGTGTAGGGCCACCAGGGGTGTTGGAGGTGTAGGGCCACCAGGGGTGTTGGAGGTGTAGGGCCACCAGGGGTGTTGGAGGGGTAGGGCCACCAGGGGTGTTGGAGGAGTAGGGCCACCAGGGGTGTTGGAGGGTAGGGCCACCAGGGGTGTTGGAGGAGTAGGGCCACCAGGGGTGTTGGAGGAGTAGGGCCACCAGGGGTGTTGGAGGTGTAGGGCCACCAGGGGTGTTGGTGGTGTAGGGCACCAGTGGTGTTGGTAGTGTAGGGCCACCAGGGGTGTTGTGGTGTAGGGCCACCAGGGGTGTTGGAGGAGTAGGGCCACCAGGGGTGTTGGAGGTGTAGGGCCACCAGGGGTGTTGGAGGTGTAGGGCCACCAGGGGTGTTGGAGGGGTAGGGCCACCAGGGGTGTTGGAGTAGGGCCACCAGGGGTGTTGGAGGTGTAGGGCCACCAGGGGTGTTGGAGGTGTAGGGCCACCAGTGGTGTTGGAGGTGTAGGGCCACCAGGGGTGTTGGAGGTGTAGGGCCACCAGGGGTGTTGGTGGTGTACGGCCACCAGTGGTGTTGGTAGTGTAGGGCCACCAGGGGTGTTGGTGGTGTAGGGCCACCAGGGGTGTTGGTGGTGTTGGGCCACCAGTGGTGTTGGTAGTGTAGGGCCACCAGGGGTGTTGGTGGTGTAGGGCCACCAGTGGTGTTGGTAGTGTAGGGCCACCAGGGGTGTTGGAGGTGTAGGGCCACCAGTGGTGTTGGTGGTGTAGGGCCACCAGGGGTGTTGGTGGTGTAGGGCCACCAGGGGTGTTGGAGGGGTAGGGCCACCAGGGGTGTTGGAGGGGTAGGGCCACCAGGGATGTTGGTGGTGTAGGGCCACCAGGGGTGTTGGAGGGGTAGGGCCACCAGGGGTGTTGGTGGTGTAGGGCCACCAGGGGTGTTGGAGGGGTAGGGCCACCAGGGGTGTTGGTGGTGTAGGGCCACCAGGGGTGTTGGAGGGGTAGGGCCACCAGGGGTGTTGGTGGTGTAGGGCCACCAGGGGTGTTGGAGGGGTAGGGCCACCAGGGGTGTTGGAGGGGTAGGGCCACCAGGGGTGTTGGAGGGGTAGGGCCACCAGTGGTGTTGGAGGTGTAGGGCCACCAGGGGTGTTGCTGGGGTAGGGCCACCAGGTTTGGCCCTGGTGGCCTCACGCCAAAGTGACCATACTTAGTACATCACATTTTCACGAAATTGCTTGATTGATTAAAAATACGACGCATTAGTAAATGGTACAACACCTGTACTCCTCACCGGGTCTATGACACCTGTACTCTTCACCGGGTCTATGACACCTGTACTCATCACCGGGTCTATGACACCTGTACTCTTCACCGGGTCTATGACACCTGTACTCTTCACCGGGTCTATGACACCTGTACTCCTCACCGGGTCTATGACACCTGTACTCTTCACCGGGTCTATGACACCTGTACTCATGACCGGGTCTATAACACCTGTACTCATCACCGGGTCTATGACACCTGTACTCATCACCGGGTCTATAACACCTGTACTCATCACCGGGTCTATGACACCTGTACTCTTCACCGGGTCTATAACACCTGTACACTTCCCTGGGTCTATGACACCTGCACTCTTCACCGGGTCTATGACACCTGTACTCATCACCGGGTCTATGACACCTGTACACTTCCCTGGGTCTATAACACCTGTACTCATCACCGGGTCTATGACACCTGTACACTTCCCTGGGTCTATGACACCTGTACACTTCCCTGGGTCTATGACACCTGTACTCTTCACCGGGTCTATAACACCTGTACTCATCACCGGGTCTATAACACCTGTACTCATCACCGGGTCTATAACACCTGTACTCATCACCGGGTCTATAGCACCTGTGTGTTGTTATTTCGCGGCACAAATTAGGAATCTGATGAGGAAGTGTCTTATATGTGCTAATTACGCGCCATCTCTCTCCTCCCTTCTCCGGTGAGTACGTCTTGAGTGCATTAAGAAGGTCCCGGTAATGAGGCACTTATGCCAGTAGAAGTGTGTGTGTAGTTTCTGAGTCTTGTAATGATATGAGGAGAGATTGAGGCCTTGGGTGAGGAGTCCAGGGACGCGGGTTCAATTCTCGCCTACAGCCCCCTCATGGTCTTGCAGATGGTATAGTATATAGTCTGGGGGGGGGGGGGGGGTGACAAGACTGACAACACTCCCGGGCAGGTGTGTAGGTGTGGGAGTGTTGTTTGGGTTTGGATTGCAGGTATGTACTTATCTAATTATACTTAACTAATTTTGCTTGCGAGGGTGACCCTCTGCTCTTTGGTCCCACCCTTCAACTGTTGTACGCCTGCCTGAGCCTCATGTGCTTTGTCATATATATATATATATATATATATATATATATATATATATATATATATATATATATATATATATATATAATATATATATATATTTGATATTACATATGTTGTACCTAGTAGCCAGAACACAGTACTCGGCCTACTATGAAAGGCTCGATTTGCCTAATAAACCAAGTTTTCCTGAATTCATATATTTTTATCATTTTTTTCTTATTAAATGACTTTCTTGAGTTGAACTTTAGTAGCCATTTTCTAGACCATTCCTCCTGTTTGTCCAGGTCGTCCTGTAGTCTCTGTCTCTCTTCATTGGTCTTGATTCTTCTCATAATTTTTGCATCATCAGCAAACATTGAGAGGAATGAGTCTATACCCTCCGGAAGATCGTTTACATATATTAGAAACAGGATGAGTCCAAGTATAGAGACTTGTGGGATTTTGCTAGTGACATCTCGCCACTCTGTCTTCCCCCTCACAGTTACTCGTTGTTTCCTATTGCTTAGATACTTCCTTGTGTGCGTGTGTGCGTGCGTGCGCGCAGGTGTGCAGTGTGCGAGAAGGTGTCGTAGAGACTGCGAGCTTCCTAATGTAGAGCTGGACTCCAAAACTATTCTGCCAGAACGTGACCATCACAACTTCAAACAGACGAAACTCCAAAAAGCCCCTACTGGTCCATAAGAATATAGACAACCAAAAATGTCTAACCTACGTCTGAAACACACCAGCTCCCCCCACTCTCCATTATGTTTGTAATGTGTTCATATTTACATTCAACTTGACAACCGAGCAAGCACTCATATTAAACCCAATTATACTACGCTTATGCAGATATAAACACACAGTTTTCCATGTAAACAGTTTGTCATTTAACTATAAATTCAGGTGTATGTATCGAACTTTTATGCAACATTGGTGCTTTCTAAGATATCAGTTATTATTATAATTAAAATTGGATGTATGTTTGTATGTATTTGTGACGCATTTAGAGGCGTGAGATACAGTGAACAAGATTAAAGTTCTGTTCGATATTAAGTTCTGTTCAAAAAGTTCGAACATTGCCAGTATTTCTAAAGCATCTTCATTAATGACCAGGAGTGTGGGTTTGGTGGCTGGATTAACGTGCCTTTGGGATTTGTTGATGAAGGATTTGTTGCCTTTGAGAGTTAGGGATTTCTGTGTACATGTCGAGGCAGTCTTGAATATGTATTTTGATCTTAATTGGTGCATGACTGATGATATTGATGAGATTCATGCATTGCCGACTTGAGAATCCTGCCCAGGTGGAAGGACTATATGTTAGATAGTACGAAGTATGTTTGTCTAACGTTTGACGAATGTTTGTCTAACGTTTGATGTATGTTTGTCTAACGTTTGACGAATGTTTGTCTAGCGTTTGACGAATGTTTGTCTAACGTTTGACGAATGATTGTTTAACGTTTGACGAATGTTTGTCTAACGTTTGACGAATGATTGTTTAACGTTTGACGAATGTTTGTCTAACGTTTGACGAATGTTTGTCTAACGTTTGACGAATGATTGTCTAACGTTTGACGTATGTTTGTCTAACGTTTGACGTATGTTTGTCTAACGTTTGACGTATGTTTGTCTAACGTTTGACGAATGTTTGTGTAACGTTTGACTTATGTTATTCAAGGTAAATCCTGACAAACGTTTGTCAATGTTAAGTCTAACATTAGATTGCCAAGACAAAGTCAGAAGAGGGAGCGGAAACGTTTGAAAGTCCAATTTGTGGAAATAAATAACAGATGAGTTTTTTGTTTGAATGATGTAGACTCATAGTTTAGTCCCATCAGTAAGCCAGGTCCTGCAGCTCCTGTCTCTGGGGGCGGAACATAGGCATAAAAAAAACAAATACACAACCCCCTTCCCCCCCTGAACCCCCCCCCCCATTTCTCAAACCCCTCCATTCTCTAACCCCCCCTTCTCAACCCCCCCCCCCCTTCTTAAACCCTTTTCTGAACCCCTCCTTCTGAATCCCTCCTTCTGAAACCCCCTCCTCAACCCTCCTCCTCAACCCCCTTCTCAACTCCCTCCTCCTCAACCCCTCCTCCTCAACCCCCTCCTCCTCAACCCCCTCCTCCTCAACCCCCTCCTCAACCCCCTCCTCCTCAACCCCCTCCTCCTCAACCCCTCCTAAGAATTTACGGTCACAAATGTACGAACCTAAATGTTTTATGGTTGATTTTTTTAAATGTATTACAGGAAAGTTAACAATTGTCCGGTTCGAGTTTGTCTGGTAGTGACGGGTGGAGGGCGGTCGTGTCCGTCCTGGTGGGCCGCCCACCACCCCGCCCACCTCAACCCCACTCACCGCCCCACTCACCGCCCCACTCACCGCCCCACTCACCACCCCACTCACCGCCCCATCACCACCCCACTCAACACCCCACACCACCCACTCAATGCCGACTCACTGCCCCCACTCACCACCCCACTCACCGCCCCACTCACCGCCCCACTCACCGCCCCACTCACCGCCCCACTCACCACCCCACTCACCACCCCACTCACCACCCCACCCCACTCACCACCCCACTCACTGCCCGACTCACTGCCCCACTCACCACCCCCACTCATCACCCCACTCACCGCCCCACTCACCGCCCCACTCACCGCCCCCACTCACCACCCCCACTCACCACCCCACTCACCACCCTAACTCACCACCCCACTCACTACCCCACTCACCTCCCACTCACTGCCCCACTCCACTGCCCACTCACTGCCCCACTCACCACCCACTCACCACCCCACTCACCACCCCACTCACCGCCCCACTCACCACCCCACTCAACACCCCACTCACCACCCCACTCACCACCCACTCACCACCCCACTCACCGCCCCACTCACCGCCCCACTCACCGCCCCACTCACAGCCCACTCACACCCCACTCACCACCCACTCACCACCCCACTCACCGCCCCACTCACCACCCCACTCACCGCCCCACTCACCACCCCACTCACCGCCCCACTCACCACCCCACTCACCACCCCACTTAACACCCACCCAACACCCCACTCACCGCCCCACTCACCACCCCACTCAACACCCCACTCAACATCCCACTCACCACCCACTCACCACCCCACTCACCACCCCACTCACACCCACTCAACACCCCACTCAACACCCCACTCAACACCCCACTCACCACCCCACTCACCCACTCACCCCACCCCACTCAACACCCCCACTCACCCCCCCACTCACCGCCCCACTCACCGCCCCACTCACCCACTCACCACCCCACTCAACACCCCACTCACCACCCCACTCACCGCCCCACTCACCGCCCCCACTCAACACCCCACTCAACACCCCACTCACCACCCCACTCACCACCCCACTCACCCACTCACCACCCCACTCACCCACTCACTGCCCAACTCACCGCCCCACTCACCGCCCCACTCACCACCCCACTCACCACCCCACCACCACCCCACTCAACACCCCACTCACCACCCACACACCCACTCACCACCCCACTCACCCACTCACTGCCCAACTCACCGCCCCACTCACCGCCCCACTCACCACCCCACTCACCACCCCACTCACCACCCCACTCAACACCCCCCACTCACCACCCCACTCACCACCCCACTCACCGCCCCACTCAACACCCCCACTCACCACCCCACTCACCGCCCCACTCACCGCCCCACTCAACACCCCACTCACCACCCCAATCACCGCCCCACTCACCGCCCCACTCACCACCCCACTCACCGCCCCACTCACCACCCCACTCACCACCCCACTCACCACCCCACTTACCACCCCACTCACCACCCCACCCACCACCCCACTCAACACCCCACTCAACACCCCACTCAACACCCCCCACTCACCACCCCACTCACCGCCCCACTCACCACCCCACTCACCACCCCACTCTCCGCCCCACTCACCACCCCACTCACCACCCCACTCACCACCCCACTCACCACCCCACTCACCGCCCCACTCACCGCCCCACTCACCACCCCACTCACCACCCCACTCACCACCCCACTCACCTCCTCCATCATTTACACCAGGCTATTCAGGCAACAAACTAATCTTCCCCTGCGCCTAATTTTCAGCCCCCGCCACCTGAATTAAGTCATAGGTGGCGAGAATGGCCAGGCAATTGTTGAGGGATTTTGGGATGGATCTCCAGCGAGAGGGAAAATTAATTTTATAGGAAATACATTTTTTTTAATTTGGATAGCGGTGTGTATGTTATTGAAATGAGATGAGAAATAGTGAAAATTTTCGGGAGGATTTCACTAAGGAAATTTTGTGAATTTGGTGGTTTAGTTTTAGGTATATTTTTTATTTAAATTTTTAAGCTATTGATGTGATATTTAGTTTTTTCTTTAGAAGGATTTTGACTGGGCAGACGTTTAATTATTTCTTTCCGTGTTGGGGTGTGATGCCGGCATGGTCGGATATAAGGCCCACTATATAAGATTAAGGCCTATATCAAGAAGAGGTGA